AATATGGACATCATGGTTGAGGATGAAGACAAGGCAATGCTACTTTTGTGTTTGTTACCGGATGATGATTATGGTACGTTCGTTCTCACTATGATCAATGGAAAAACTATTGTTAGCTATAAGGAGGTGACATCGGCGTTGGTGAATTATGAGTTGAGGAAGAATGATGGCGAACCCTCCGAGAATGCATCGGGAGATGCATTAGCAGTTCGAGGCCGTAGTCCAAAACGCCGTCAAGTCAACCGCTCAAAATTGAAGAATAGAGGTGGCTATAAGAGTATTGGTAGAAATCAATATCATTTTTGTAAAGAAGAGGGACATTGGAAGATCGACTGCCCAAAGTTGAAGGATAAAGCCGGGAAGAACAATGGGAAAGCTGTACAAGCTTCAGAAGTGAATGTTATAAAAGCTGTTAGTGAACATTCAGATTCAGATTCTTTAGGCTATTCGTGCACTGCACTACCATCGGTTTGCTATGCCGACTCTACGGAGTGAATGTTGGATTCAGGAGCCACATATCATATTTACTCTAGGAGGGATTGGTTCTCCAGCTTTGAGGAGCTAGAAAGAGAGGATGTTGTGCTTATGGGTAATAATCACGTATGCCCTATTGGCGGTATTGGTTCAGTCCGGATTAGGATGCATGACGGAGTGGTTAGGGAGTTGAAAGAAGTGAGGTTCGTGCCGCAGTTGACGAAGAACATCATTTCTCTTAGTACTTTGGAGGCAGCAGGTTATCGGGTGATCTTAGAGTATGCTACTGTGAAGATCACGAAGGGTTCTATGGTGATGATGCGAGGTGTTAGGAAAAATAACCTATACCACTTAAAGAGCAAGACAGTTATAAGGGGTCTGACAGCTTCTATCACCATAGAAGAGGATACTACCAGCTTATGACACATGCGTTTAGGAAACACTGGTGATAAGTCCATGCAGACATTGGCGAAACAGGGGCTATTGAAAGGTGTGAAAATCTGTAAGATGGAGCTGTGTGAGCATTGTGTACTTGGGAAGAAGACTAGAGTGAAGTTCGACATCGCTATTCACAACACCCAAGGTATATTGGATTACATTCACATAGATATTTAGGGTCTTTCTAAGCACACATCACTTGGTGGGGTTAACTATTTTGTTACTTTAATTGATGACTATTCCAAGAGAAATTAGGTATATACAATGAAGCATAAACATGAGGTCCTGGATATTTTTGTGGAGTGGAAGAAGAAAGTGGAGTTAAAGACAGGTAGAAAGGTGAAGACTGTTCGTTTAGATAACGGTGGAGAGCACAAGAATGATCTATTTCTGTAGTTTTGCCGGGATGACAAAATTAGGCGACACTTCATAGTTCAAGAGATACCGTAACAAAACAGGGTGGCTAAGAGTTTGAACCATACATTGCTGGAGAAGGTGCAATGTATAATAACACAGAGTGGATTGCCTAGATCCTTTTAGGCCGATGTGTTAGTTTATGTGAGTCATCTTGTTAATAGGTTGTCATGCACTACGATACAGGGGAAGACTCCTATGGAGCGTTAGTCTGGTTCGATAGCTAGTGACTATGAGTCGCTTCAAACATTCAGGTGTGCTGCTTATTATCATATCAATGATGGAAAATTGAATCTTAGGGCGAGGAAAGCAATCTTTGTAAGATTAAGAGAATGTGTTAAATGTTTTAAGTTATGGGATCCACAGAACAAGAAGATAGTCATTAGCAGAGATGTCATATTTAATGAGGCGTACATGATGAGACCTCAAATTCCTCAACAGGTGGAGGAAGACCAGATTAGTAGGATATCGTAGCTGGTGGAGGATGATGTGACTCCACCCACTCCAGATAGCATTGTATCCATTGAGGCTCCAACAAAGGTGACACTAAAAGGAGATGAGATGGCAGACGGACATTTAGATGATACAATGGATGGTGAGACTTAGGAACATGGTCATCTTTAGGAGTCCATTACAGCAAATAGACCTAGAAGGGTGATTCGTCGTCCAGCTAGATACAATGATGTCATGGTTGCATATGCTTTATCAATGGAGGTCGTTAATGATATAGTTCCTTCTACATTCAGGGAGGTAGAGTCTAGCACTGATTCGATCAGGTAGATGGAAGATATGGAGGACGAGATACGGTCTCTTTAGAAGAACGACACTTGGGAACTTGCAAAGCTACCTAAGGGAAAAAAGCTATTGGTTGCAAGTGGGTATATGCGAAGAAAGAGGGATCTTCTATTGAGGACATTAGGTACAAAGCCAAATTGGTTGCCAATGGATATGCACAACTTGAGGGCGTTGATTACAATGAGGTATTTTTACCCGTTGTGAAGCATTCGTCGATTTAGAGTTTATTAGTATTGGTGACACAGCTGGATTTGAATTTGGTCCAGATGGATGTTAATACAGCCTTTGTACATAGAGATTTAGATGAGAAGATCTACATGACACAACCTTTGTAATTCAAAGTTGCAGGATAAAAGATTTAGTGTGCAAGCCGAAGAAGTCTTTTTATGGTTTGAAACAATCGTCACGACAGTGGTAAAAGAGATTTGACAGCTTTATGATTAGTCATGGATACACGAGGAGCCCATATGACCCATGTGTTTATATGCACAAGCTACAGGATGACAAGTATTTATTATTATATGTTGATGATATGCTTATTGCTTCCAGGAATTCTTCGGCTATTCGAAAGTTAAAATAGGGACTGTCATCCGAGTTTGAGATGAAGGATCTTAGAGAAGCTAAGAAGATATTGGATATGAAGATCAAGAGAGACAGGGTGAAGGGGAGATTGAAGCTTACACAGAGGAGTTACTTGCATAAGATGTTAAAGAAATTCAGCTTTAATGGCAATGCAAAAGCAGTTAGCACTTCATTAGCTCCCCACTTCAAGTTTTCAGCTTTAATATCACCTGTTTTAGTTGAGGACAGAGATTATATATCAAAGGTTTCATATACCAGTGTGGTAGGTAGCTTGATGTATGCGATGGTGTGTACGAGGCCATATCTCTCACATACCATGAGTATGGTATCAAGTTATATGCACGACCCCAGGAATGATCATTGGGAGGCCGTGAAGTGGATTCTACTGTATGTTAAAGGCACTATGGGTGTTAGTTTGATTTTTTAGAAGAATGAGAAGAATGGGAAGGATAACAATTAGCTACATTGATTCAGATTATGCGTGGGATCTTGACAAGCGTCGGTCTACTTCAGGATATGTGTTTACATTGGCAGGAGCACCGGTATGTTAGAGATGTACACTTCAGTCTATAGTAGCTCTCTCTACTACAGAGACAGAGTATATGGCAGTGACTGAAGCTGTGAAGGAGGCTTTGTGGTTGCATGGATTGTTAGAGGACTTGGGGATTACACATGAGATTATTCGCGTATATTATAATAGTATGTCAGTTATCTATTTGGTAAAAAACTAGGTTTATCATGCACGCACGAAGCATATTGATGTTAGATTCTACTTTGTTCGTGATTTTTTGGATGATGGAGATGTTATATTGGATAAAATCCACACGAAGGATAACCCTACGGATATGTTGACCAATGTTATTTCATGTGTGAAATTTGGTCATTGTTTGAAGTTATTAAACATTCTTTAATGTTGAGGGCCTTTGGAGGCTATTTGGGTGAACTACGTTCGGCTTGATTCCTTAGGCAAGAGGATACGTAGGCAGTCTTTTCGATGCAGCAGGGTTGGATTTGTTGATTTCGATGGGGGGAGATTGTTTGAGCTCTTGTTTGGGTTCCCGATGTGTTGTGTATTGAGTTTATTGTCGTGGGTTGATTTCACTTCGTATAGGACGCAACAAGTAGGATATTTGGATATTTTGGTGTCGGCTCAGTTTTGAAAGAAACTTTACCGAGATGGAGATTTGTAGAAGTGACGAACACAACGAAGAACTGTTGCTGAAAAATCAGGGCGAGGAAATCTTCAAGTAAACTTTGGCCGGTCGACCGCGAGTTAGCTGCGGTCGACCGGAAACATGCACAAGGCCAGAGCTGCCTTCTGGAGTTGAGACGGTCGACTACCTTGGTCGACCGTATAGACCCTGTAATCGATTTTATGTCTCGGGAATCGATTCGGTCGACCGCCGCGGTCGACCGTGAGTACCCTGCAGGCGATTTATTTTCTGTCGTGGGTGTACGGTAGACCGTGGCGATCGACCGCGCATCGGGTCTGAGTTAAGTTTAGGTTTCTGACCCATTTCGTTTGCTGTTGGTATATAACCCTAAACCTGATTAATTAGGGTTAAGCAAGGATATTTTTTAGCAGACTTTTGAGAGAGTATTGTGCACCCTTTGTGGGAGGATTTGTAAGAGATCTAGAGAGCTTTGTTCTAGGATTTATTGATGAAATTTGTAACCCTATTTGTATTTTATTGATTTCTAATAGTAAGAACTCCTTCCTCCTTGCCCCATGGACGTAGGCAACTTGCCGAACCACGTAAATTTGGTTTGTCTTGCTGTGATTGTGATTTGTGCTTGTGATTTGGTTGTGATCTTTCTCGTTCTTGTTCGTGCACTTTCGTGTGATTCGAGTTCCGCTGCGCACAACAATTCTGGCATATCATAAAAACAATTAAATAAATGCATTTAAATGTTTGGACTTATGACTTAAACAAGGTGAATTTGTTTACGGCCATTTCAACCTAAGTAAATTAGCATAGTCCATCTCTTCTAATGAATGATCTAATCTAACATGATTTAAATCATTTATTTAATTTCAAAACATGTATTAAACAAAATTGGCTTCACAAAAGTGATGGTGCCTTCATGTATATTCGTAGCTCCGTAATTTTGCATGTCACGGACCATATATCCTTATAAGTTCACACCCTTTGCCTAAAAGCATAAACATGCAAAGAGAATATGTACAAGGGCCTTCATGCAAAAGTAAAAGCTTTCCTTCTTTTTCATAATGTAACGCATTAGGGTATATCAGAACGTAGCAGCTACATGTTTTTGTAGTTTTGTGGTAAGTTTCTCTCCCCCCACCCCAACCTCTCTCTTCCTTTTCTTTATTTCTCTCTCTATAATTATATACTATATATAAGATTAAGTAATTATAAAATCTTCAGCTCATTAACTACACCCTTGTGATCTGTGCTCCCTCACACTGGAGAAGAGGGCTGCTGCTTTAATCCAGACAGCTCCAACTATATATTTACAGGTACCAGCAGTATCTGCAGAGCCTTCTATAGAGAGAGAAGCAAGAAAATATTCTCAAAGTTTGCGTTTTGAAGGAGACCCATATGAGATTTTGATACGAAGGCAAGTGGGTATCAAGGAAATTGGTTTTTAAGCATTAAAAGTTTGTTTCTTGCTGTGTTTGATCATAGAAAGAGCCCATTTTTATTGAGAAAATGGGGAGTTTTGGGAGGAATGGTTCAGTGAGGCAATACAATAGATCAAAAGTTCCAAGGCTGAGATGGACCCCTGAGCTCCATCGTCTCTTTGTTCATGCCATTGATACTCTTGGCGGCCAAGATAGTATGATTTCCTATTCCTTTCTATGTTTTTTACAATTTTTTGTTTTAGCTTTTACCCGTTTTTTTGAAAAATATTCATGGGTATTTTTTTGCTCTTCAGAAGCTACACCAAAGCTTGTTCTTCAGTTGATGAACATTAAAGGACTCACTATTTCTCATGTCAAGAGCCATCTTCAGGTGTGATTTAATTTCATTTTCTCTTTTTAAATATATTCTCTTGTTTCTGATTATGTCACCTCTTTTTTTCCCCAGATGTATAGAAGCATGAGGAATGACATTAGCAGGCAAGGTAATGGGGATGATGAATACCATTTGATTATTTTCTTTTCCTCTTAAACTTTGTTTTTGTCTTGATCCTCCCCATTTATTTTCTACCTACCTTTAGCAATGTCATCTTTATCCAAATTGGCAAGTTTAGTTTGCAGAGCTCATCCTTTGTTGGTGTGCTTTTGTTTCTCCTTACCTGGGTTGTTACTTCACAACCAACGCTTACTCTTTTTTTCCCTCTTCTATTTTTTAACCTTAAAAGACAAAATGTGTGAAGCCAAAGAAGCTCACATCTTCCAAAATTTTTAGCTTTTCGAAAATACCCTTTTGCTCACACTTTCTAAATGTGCAACCATTTTTCACAAAATCCCAAAAAAATGTAAAATAAACTTTATTTCTCAAAATACAAAAAAAAAGTAAAATAAAGTTTATCCTGGCATTATTTTTTACTAAGACTTTTAATTCCCAAATAGTTTCTTATCTCTCCTCAGATTTGCATCCCACACATGATGATGTTGGTTTCTTCCCTTGTTCAAACCTCAATCCTCTCCCTACTCTCAAAAGGTTAGCTTTCCAGTTGCAAGTAATGATATTACAATATAAAGACAAATAACTTTTTGCTTATCTTGTCATCTTAATCTCTCAAAGCTTTGAATTGCAGCCAAGGAATCTATCAAGCAGTCACCCTGCAGTACAAGTATTATGATTACATGCAAGCAATGGCAATGGAGAAAGGAGATGATCATCTTTTTAACTTTATAGAAGAATCTAACTCTTTCAAGGTACAACAAAAGGAGGCCAAATTTACCCCACCACTCTCTTTGACATTATTATGTTTTTTTAGTATCTTGCTTTGTGGCTTTTTTTATGATAAATTTTGTAATGTCTTCTTCCATGAAATCATCATTTGACCGACTAACTTTATTGGTGCTTGTCACAAGTCAAAGGTCAACTATTGCATGGCTAGTTCAATTTGAGTGCTTACATTTTTTTTTGGACTAGACAATCAATGATTTTAACGTTTCCTTTGATTATTCCTTCTCATTCCATCTATCGCGTAGTGAATTATACCAACTAGCTTGTTTCTCGCGGAGTACTTAATGTATTGTTTATCATTATTATTAATTTAAAATGTTTTAATTTCCCTTATATTGTAAGTTTCTACTTTAATACGTCAGGATTGGGCCCATGCACACCTATAAACCATCGAGTAAATAAATGTAACAAGTATTGTTCATTGTGCGTGATAGAGTGCGGCTAAGTTTTGCAGGGGACTGCCACTTGCTTTTTACTTTTGTGCTCAAGTCCAAACAGTTAGAAAACAATTTTAGGCGGTATTCTTTTTTTACGTTATTTTTAATTTTCTATTTACACTGAAGATCCTATCTTGAAGAAGCTTCACCCTGTTAGACAAAATCATAATACAAAACTGTCCAGTCTGTCCTTAAGAAGAATAATCATCTGACCTTCAGCTGATAAATCATAATATGGCCTGATCATGGACTTAGACCTTGTATATAGGATTGGCTCTTCTCCAACTACTTCTTTAATCACAGCGATCTATTATTTAGCGGTCTGATGATTTGTTTTGACTGAACATGGAATTAGTGTAACTCTCCATGATTCTATATATAAATTTGAAGCCCGAACTCTTTTAAGTGTCGAACAAAAGCTGAGTGGATCCAAATTCTTATATTATTGGACATATATCCTTTGTGTTTTGTGCTGAATTAGCACCGAATGCAGCCTAACCCGTATCTAGAGGTGCAAGCCTTTTGCGTTCGGAAACACAAGATACCGTCTAAATATTTTTCTCAATTAAGTACTAATACGAGGAAATTAATTACAGGAAAATGGATGTCAGCTGAAAGCGGACGATGACTCTTCACCGTCTCTGTCCTTGTCACTGAATCTCAATCAAGGGAGTAATTATGCATCTTCAGCCAGTGAGAGCAGCTGCATTGTCTCTTCTTCATCATCTCCAAGCTCTAGAAAATGCTCAGGCTTCTCCAGTGGCTGCAGTATTAATTTGGATCTCTCCATGTCCATCTTTGGGTCTTAGTATCTAGATTGAGAGAATTGTAAAGTTTTTTGGCTCTGATTTTTCTTTCAAGTTTTAACTTCACTGAGGCTAGTTAGTAGCCATAGCCCTTTTTTTCTTTTTTCTTTTTTAATATTATCTATGGAGAGCTAATGAGAAATTCTGACTAATTAACTTCCCATGTTGTAGATTTTTAGCCCATGTCCTTCTTCTGTCTTGTAAAGATTGTACGGGTAGAGCTTTAGCATTGAAGAATTTATTTGGAGCCATTTATTTCTGATACACTCGTGGGTCAGCCCTCAGTATTTACCTCTGATCTTGTGTTGTTAGCCTGAAAACTGCCAAATTCAAACTTGCAGGTGAACCAAACCGTAACTCTCGTTTCCTATGTATTTTAGGACCTTGTAGGATAATATGATCTTGAATGATAACTATAGTTTTATCTATTTTGAGTCAGTAATGTCTTCCGTACTTCACTTCGCTTAACTAAACGTGCAAGGGTCAGCAAAAAGAGAGAGGTTTCGTCGTCTTTGCTATAAATACCCTTTCACTACACCAAATGTTTGCAGTTATGATAAGCTTTGGAAGTATATCAAACTGCACCGCATCTTTGGAATTAGGATGAGGGTTGAAAGTATTGCTAGAGTAGTGATTATATGCTCTTGAACTTCAGTATAAATCATGTAATATTCTTAAAATATTAATAGATTCAATTATTGCACATATAATTTGGGTATCATTTCTATAATTGTTATAGTATATTTAGAAATTATTTTGTTAGATCATGTACTGTGGTGGTCACTTGTTTGGAGATATGATCTAACTTAGAGATTTTTAAACTTGTGCTTAACCTATAACTAGTAAATGATAATTAGTTATAATAGGTTATTATGCATGACACCGACATGTGAGATGTAGTGGTGGGCCTCAACCACATGGAATAGAGTTTTCCCGGGTGTATGTCATAAGCACACTTTGTGACGTGTATAGTGTCAGACTATATTTAAATTTTCTAGGACAAGTTACCTAGGAGATAAAGAATTCAAATTGATACATGGCCCCTTTGACTGATGATATTATCATTTTTGATTTGATAATTTAGTATACTTTGATGTAATTGTTAACCTTGTTTAGCAAGCGCTACATAACCTGAGATCTTGGGTTACTAGATTTCATTTAGGGAAATGATGAAAATTTAGATAGGATCCAGTATGCTCATTATGATGAGTTAATTTGTCATGTATTCCCATAAAGTCATTAAATTCCCACTGGCGGGTGGTTTTAACAAATATTTTTTTAAAATTTATTTTATTAATAAAAAATATCTTGATGTTTCAAAATTATTTTTTATTTATGTTCATGGAATTTTAATTTAGGCATGAGCAAATAGGTGGATTGTTCTGCGCAAAAGAGTTACCTAAAATAAATAATACCAGAGGTGATTGAATGTAAGATATTATTTATAAATAATTAATCCCATATCATAACAGTGCTTTTATGAATAGTCGGTCAAATAGGGATTTGACTATTGTTATGGTATTCCCACTCGCTCAAAATATAACCCCCCCCATAAAGCAACTGGCAAGCTTAAGCAAACACGGCCCCCAATCCACTTAGTGGCCTAAGTCCAAACAGAGGTCTTAACTCCGCCGACTCGTTGACCTAATACCACCTGTGTCGACTCGAAGAGTGGGATCAGTCGGCCCTCTCATCTAGGAAGACTCGCCTGAAGTCCACTAGACTATCTATTCGACACCTCGCAAAAGCGACTTAATGGGCATAACCTCTTATTCATCCCGAAGGATAATAATCGCCTCAGCTTCCCACCTCTGACAACATGTTAGCACCACAGTTTCCATTGACAGGTCCCATCATGACCCTAACCCTGACAGTCTTCCTGACTCACTAGCCAGCGTGCCCCTGCCATGCTCTCAATCACTTCCCAGATAACGTGGGGACATCCTCTCCCATACCGAAGTGTCTTCTCACCCAACCACCAAGTGACATTTGTAAAGTAAAGGCTTACTCAACAGTCCAGCTTGCACACTGCAACGACTAATCACTTCTCAGAAAATGGGGAGAGCTTATCTCCCATGCTGAAGTGACTTCTCTTCTAATCGCCAGTCGATACTTGTCAAGAAAAAGGCTGACTCAACGTCCACTCCACACCTTGCCACCGCCCTCCTGTGCATAGTAAAACATGACCAATCTGCCCATCTGCCCCTTGATACATATAGGTATGACCCAAACTTAAGGGGCGCGAGCAAGCTGGCTCTTAAGAGCTCTAGCGATCTAACTCCTCTGGAGGACACATTGTATACAAGAACCACATGAGTTCTTTCCTGGACCTTCCCCTTCCCCACTCAAGCTCTTAATCTGACTTGATCGTCGGAGGAACCACGGGGGAACTGGTCCCCGTCCTCTTTTATGTTCTCCATTGTCCGTGCAGCATGATCGGATACCCCAATTCAAGAACCATGCATAAAGTCGGGATAGGAGGTGGCCCCCTTCATCAATCTCTTCTGCCTCACTCTAAGCGAGAGCCAGAGCAAACCGATCCTCTCCTGGATCTGATTGACTGTGTGATCTTAGTCATCAACAGTTCGACGCCCACTGTGGGCCTTCTCTCTTTTTCGAGAAGGCACGCCAAGTTCTGGATAAAGGTTTGATCTTGCACACCTTGAAGAACAAACACCGAAGTTGTGTCATCTAAGCTAAATGGAGTTCGGAGTTGTATCATCCAAGCTAATGAGGTTTGGTCTTGGCTGTGGAAAGTCGACATAGTCATACTCCTCCGCAACCATAGCAACCATTTTGGGAAAAATTGTTGAGGTAACCATCTACACAATGGAAGATCTCCCATTACCTCCAATGCTTCTTCATGAAAACCACCATGGTTCTGAAGAGAGCAACTCCAGCTCCCCGGGGATGAGATTGTGGGAAAAACTCAAAGCTCACTAGCTGGTCAAACTTGTTGGAAGGAACAACTCCGGCTTCTTGAGTATCTCTCAGAAAAATTCCACCGCAAAAGTCACCTAAGTTTTTGTGGTCAAAGCATGTGACTCGCATGATCCCTGCATGGGAGACCTCTCCATCCCCAGGATGGTCTAGCTCCCACTACTCCGGATGCTCCTTCAAGAAAATCACTATGGTTTGCCATTTCTAGGGAGTACAATACCGGCTAATGGATTATCTCTCCAAGAGAATTTCCATCACAAAAGATGCCTAGTATCTTTTGATCGCGCCCCCAACCCTCACAAACTCGACCAGGAGAATGCCATCCAAGACAACTTATGACATCTGGGCAATTCTTTTGCCAAAGCCGGCACACCAACCATTTGCCTTCAAGACCTCGGCGAAGATTTGAACTCAGAGGAGCCTTAGCAAATGAAATGGCAAATAAATTTATGACTCATTATCACTTAGCAACGAGTCACTTGCTACCGTTAAAGAAAAATCCAATTAAAGAGGTTTTATACGGGCGACCTCGTCTTCTACAAAACTACCTTCGGAACAAAGACAATGGAGAAACATCAAGTATTCAACGCCCCTCAGCATTAGATGCATGTGGCAGATACTTCCCATACAATGTAAATTTCAATATAAATGAAATTCTTACTAAACATGGGTTGACTCTTGCCTTACATTTCGAAGTGCCAAGTCTTGGCCAAATTCCAAGCCCTTGGTACCTTTTCAGGAATAAACCTAAGGCACCAACCCTATGGTCGACTCCTACAATCGTCTTTCGACTATACGAGGATATCGAAGACCTAGGCAACACATAAGACCTAGGCTCTCAACCTTAGGGTTGTCATTTAGCCTCAAGGCTACCAAAGACCTAGTCAACTTCCATAGAGTTCTAGGCATTCAAATTCTCAGTCCCCCAAGCACTTGGCATCTTTTCAGGAATAAACCCAAGGCACCAATCCTATGGTCGACTCCTACAGTAGTCTTTTGACCATACGGGGATATCGAAGACCTAGGCACCACATAAGACCTAGGCACTCAACCTCTAGGTTATCATTTAGCCTCAAGGCTGCCAAAGACCTAGTCAAATTCCATGGAGTTCTAGGCATTCGACTCCTCAGTCGAATTCCAAGCCATTGGTATCTTTTCAGGAATAAACCCAAGGCACCAACCCTATGGTTGACTCCTACAGTCGTCTTTCGAACATACGATGATATCAAAGACCTAGGCACCACATAAGACCTAGGTGCTCAACCTCAGGGTTGTCATTCAGCCTCAAGGCTGCCAAAGACCTAGTTAACTCTCAAGAGTTCTAGGCATTCAACTCCTCAATCAAATTCCAAGCCATTGGTACATTTTTAGGAATAAACCCAAGACACCAATCCTATGGTCGACTCCTACAGCCGTCTTCCAACCATACGAGGATATCGAAGACCTAGGCATCTCATAAGACCTAGGCACTCAACCCTAAGGTTGTCATTCTACCAAAAAAGGGCTTCAGGTCATCCTACACAAGCCTAAGGTATGAATTCTAAATGCTCGACTGAATTGTTTCTCGACACAAAAACTTAGGCACTTATTCGCCAAGTTCTTAACAATTGAAGAATTAGCACTCAACCAGCACAAGGCATGTAGATATATATATATATATATATATATATACATATGATGAATTTATGTGAATTATTAGTGATAAATAATTCTTTTGTGTTAAATATTTATATATATATCATAGATGAATGTGATAGTGTTTGGGAACCAAACAAGTGTTTATAAGTAAGAGAAATCAAGTGGATAGACCAGCATATTGATAAACAATCACAACAGACTGTTTTTCTGTTGTGCGGTCGACCGCGATGGGCGCGGCTGTTAAATATTTATATATATATCATAGATGAATGTGATAGTGTTTGGGAACCAAACAAGTGTTTATAAGTAAGAGAAATCAAGTGGATAGACCAGCATATTGATAAACAATCACAACAGACTGTTTTTCTGTTGTGCGGTCGACCGCGATGGGCGCGGCTACGGTTCAGGGAGTCAACGAGTCATCCAACCATATAATGGATTCGAACTCAGACACCAAAGCCGATTTACTGCCTAATCGGGATCCAGACTTCCAAATCAGGATTCAGAACAAATCGGGGTTCAGAGCGACACCACAGGCGAACTCGGATGAATCGCGATCGAGTCACGATCAGTTTTGGAATCAAGCTCAGAATCGGATTTATTGCCAAATCAGGAATCGAGTCAACGAATCGATTTCAGACCAATCAACCGCATAACCGAATCACGGACGAAGCGGATACA